TAGACAACCAATTGTACTTGAGCTCCCAGGCCAATGCTTCAGCTACGAGGGCAAACAGTCTTCAAATTTATAAATTGGAGAATATCAAGCAGGAGTATGGAGCTGGGATTACCTCCTCATACAGCATTAGTTAGACGGTTAGCAGAAAACCACATCCAGCTCTAGAGTCTACATTTTAAAAAAGGATGGTGAAAAATTGGAAAGGGTTCAGAAAAGAGCTTCAAAAACAATCTGAGATCTGGAAAACATGCCTTACAGTTAGAGACTTAAGAAGCTCAATCTTTTTAGTTTATACAAGAGAAATTCTTCAATTGCCTATGTAACAATGCAATTCTATCACCCTTAGTTATGTAGAATAGAACTTTACTCCACAAGTAGACTTACTGAAACCCCTAGGCACCACTCTTGGAGTAATGTACTACTCTTCGTGAGTGGGGTGGGAGAATTTAGCATAAAATAAAAACCTCACTATGAAATACTCCAATTCCTACAAGGTAGGTAGGATGAGAGATTATTATTGCTATTTCTTTTTATATAAATTTAGGAGGCACTCAGAGGCTATGGTGGAGGTCAATATTATACTTAGGTCGCCAAACAGATTCCAAATAATTTTAAAAGCCATTTAGTGATTTTAATGACAAAGGCCATTGTAGCCTGAGTAATATCTTAAATCGTTTATTTTGAGCCAATAAATCTTCAGCATCAGTTTTGTACCTACAGAAAATTAGGGTGAAATTAAAATAAAAATGCAAAAGAAACGTTCTATGTACATGATCTAATTTCTCTTATCCCCCCAGCCTGAAACAGTAGTGTTTTTTTTCTCCATGTTTTGTTTTATGCTTATGTAGAGGCTGTGATTTTTAAAGTGTCCAAATGTTATAAACTAAACAAAATAGGAAGTGAGTCATAACATCCCGGAAGATAACATATGTAGCTTTTAAAATGGAAGGAAAGAAATTAGTTTTCTAGCAGCTGGATTTTATAAAATAAGCTAAACACATTCCAAAAGGAAAACATTAATTAAAAACTTCAGTTTGTTTAGTGATCTGCTGAAGGAAAACAGGAAAGTTGGGATAACTTTAAAGTGAATATAAGAGAAATGAATAAAGAACCTAACAAGCTCTTGGAGTCAGATGTTGTTGAGATAAAGCTGAGTAAATATAATGTGATTTGACATGTTTTAAGGTTAAAAGGACACTAAACCCTATAGGCCTCAGTTTTTCAGCCCTTAAAAGTAATAAAGTTTGATAGGAAAAGTCATGTTGGTTTTGTTTCTACTGCAATTCCGCACCCCCCCCCGTTACAGTTTCTGTGCTAATAAATAAACCACCTACTCTTTCACTGCCATGATCAAACCAAATCTCAACTTCCAACTTGTGTCTTCCCTCTCCTATATAAAATGCATGCATATTCACATTTAAGCACTTATTCTTTGCTGAAGAAACAGTGTCATTAACCCAGGTACCTTGTTTGAGTTTTTTCTTTCTTTTAAAACAAAGCATACACATACTACTCCAAACAGGGACTGAGAGAGCAAGGTGATACTGCTGATAAATGCACAATGTGCTACATGAGCGCATGTAGCTGTAAAACAGAAACTGTGACTTTTAGTGTGATCACTGCAATAAGGAAATTCTTATTTTTAACTAATTTTCAACAACAACCATTTAAACGTCTCTTTTAATACTGACTAAACACAGTATTTTATAAACTAATTAATAGATAACCATATATGGATCATTTCACCCATCACTGAAATACAACTAACTCTGGAGTTAAATTCAATGACATATAACACTACACCAAAACAATTTAGTACAGGAAACAAAAAAGAATACAGTGGCATAGGTGCTGGGAACTAAGAGTGCAGGGCGTGTTGCAGCACCCCCTGGCTTGAAGTGGTTTCCATTATATACAGGGTTTTTACAGTTTAGTTCAATGGCTCTCAGCACCCCCACTATAAAAATTGTTCCAGCACCCCTGTACAGTAGCAAACTGAACATGGATTGAGTATTTCAAAAGGCAGAATGTGAGCTGAAATTTGGACAGGTGGTCAGGGTATACATTCCTACTCTTGCACACACACAAAAAAAGCCAGATCTGTAACGACTATTAGTGGTTGGAACTACCTCCAAAACATAGTTCCTCTGGCAGTACAGTGCCTCATTCAGTACTGATTCAGAGGGAAGAAGTCCACATATAGAGACACTTATTCCTGCATTTCCTAGCTGTTTCAATCTATTCTTAGCAGAATTAAGAAGTGACAAGAATTAATACGGATGGGTTCTCTATCAAACTACTTCATTTTGAAGATGCATTAAAATGACACCCAAGGGACACACTCAAAGGATTGGGAAGCTATCTGGCATTCTGGATCTTAGTACTATATCAAATTTTACTTCAACAGTCAAGCTCTGATCTCATGAGCCCTCCGTAATACAATTCTTTTATTTGCCCAGCTGTTTAACTCTGAGAAAAAAAATACAAGGTAAGGAACTCTAGTACCAGAAATATTACTAAGTAACTTGAACACATTAGTCAGTGGTTAAATATACATACTCTCCCGCTTTATTTCTTAATTCACCAGCTCTAAATAGAGTCACTTACGAATTTATTAGGCAAACAATGTATTACAAGTAATTAAAAATTGGGAACACAAATAGGGTAGAAATTTGTGTTCATAAGTGATTTTTTATTTTTAAATAGGCATGATTAAATATAGGAACATTAGATTGTCCTTGTTTAGCTAAGCAGTTTTATATGCTAGAGCTAGTCTCTTGAGCAATTCTGAAAAATGCAATAAATTGGTTACTGTTTGTTTAAATGTGTGTGTATTGTGTGTTTTGTTTTGTTTTTTAAAAAAACACGTGAATTAAATTAGATCCTGTAGAACCACACTTTTTCCCCATACAGGAAACATCTTGTTGTTTAAGGTTTTCATTGTATTTAACGGCTGCCCTCAAAAAGTCCCATAAAGCAGTTCATCAGCATAATTTATACATAATTTTATTCAATGGAAAAAAACAGCTCTCATGCATGTTGGTTCATGCAGGCACAAGAAAGGAAGCCTACTAATCTAACAGATGGGCGAACAAAAGTACTGACAATGCTTCTTTATATGACCAAACAACCAAAAAAACCCTGAGTAACTCCCTAAAATACAGGAAGCTTTCTTGTTTTAAACCAAGCATTTGCTTTGCATCTTTCTTAGCCATAAAATTGACAATAATACTTAAAAGAAAAAAAGAACACAAATGTGGGTCAGGTCAAGCTAAGAGTTTGTAATGAATGCTCCTCACTATGTATGTCTGCATATGAGCGATCAAGCTGGTAAGACAGGGTAAGTTCTTGAGGTAAAACTGACTGTAGGTGTCAATTAACATTAGCAACTGTGTTAAGGTTATACAAAGTGATAACAGAACATACAGATGAACATTTATTTTAGAGTGAAGAATGGATATTTGGAATTGCTTTGCCACAAGAAAAAAGAATCTAAGAATGTGGTGGTGTTTTCTCTACACTTTAAAAATAAAATGAATTTCAGTGAACTGATCTGATTATAAAAGACATTTTGCCATGGGGCACAATATTCTTAATGGTGACAAATGACAATAACCAGAGTTCAGCAAGATGCTTTTATTATATGCTACTATAAATATGACCATAAAGATAGTCTACAGAAGATCAACCAATATAGGTTCTACTACAGATGCATATACTTTGAAGGAAGTGAGAAGTATGAAATTGTCACTACAATGTAACTAGAGAATAAGGATAGGTGTTTATTTTTTAATTTTGATTATCTTGTGCCCTGTTGCTGATGTCAAACAGATACTGCAGAACATCTACATTTTTCTGCTATTTATAAGAAATGCTGACTCTCTCTCAAAACATCAAAGGGCTAATTTTGACAGCTAGGGTCCAATCATAGCAAAAATAGGTCAAAGAGCAGAAAACAAAACACTAGAGTCACATGAGAAAATACTTCTCAGTTAATGACACTATACTGGTTTTAAAAACAATGGGTTTGAACCAAAGAAAATGTATTGTTAAAGTGTAACAATGATAAAAAGTTAAGAGGTGAGTTGTCTAAGAACAGGAAACGTCCCACAGAATATTAAAAGACAACTGCAAAAGTGTTTTTAAAAGGCTGGACACCAAAATAAAATAGAAAAAGAGTGAAAAACACTCCCCCACTCTGTTGGGAAACAAAATAAAACAAAAGGTCAGCTGTTATAACCCCCCCTCCCCTCACCCCAAGTTTTCTCGCCTTTCTTCCAGTGCAAGCCAGGGCTTCTCACAAAAGGAAAAGATAGGTCCGACCATTTTAATGGGGACAAGATCTCATTGAGGTCCACCCCCAGCTATGCGGAACCAAGGACATGATTTATCCAAAGGAGATTAAAATCCAAAGGAAGACAGAACGATATCTCTTGGCAACAGCATCTCCACTCACAGCCTTGCCTCTGTACGCCTCATTGTCCTCTCGGGCAAGAGGGAGGAAAGAATCGTTCCTTGGAATCGTTTTCAGCGGAACAAATTCCCAGCCCTGGCTCCCTACGCGCTAAGGAGGCGTTTGCAAACCAGAGGGAGCAGGCACGGAGCGCAAAGGCAGAATCAAGCTAGTCGGGGGACAGCAGAGCCGCGCTATTGGCTACCGTAGTCCATAAGCAACTTTCCCAACTATGTCAGTCGCACGCACAGCGAGGGGAATGTAACTTCCCAGAGAGAGAAACCAGCCAACAGCAGCCTGGGGGCGCGGGTTGCAGAGACCCGCTCGCCCAGGGCACACGGAAAGGCTTCTCGGGAAACGCGCAGACCCCCTCGCTGCACTTACTAAAGAGGGGGGGCGGGTTCCTTGTCTCTGGACGCCTTTAAGGAACGGCAGAGTCCCATCCCGCGGCTGTGCCCCGGGGGCTGGGCAGGCAGCGGTCCGCAGCAAGGAGAAAAGTCACCAGCACGCCCCCCACCAAACTTTCCCCTCTTCCCTGAGCACCTACCGGCTGAGCTCATGGTGCCACCCACGCGCCTCTCCTGCCTCCTCCTCGCCCCTTAAGCCATGGCCCCCCGCAGAGCTGAAGCGGACAAACCCATTGTGCCGCCGTACTACTGCCGCAAGGCGCCCCCCGGCCGCTCCTCCATCAGGTCCCGCAGCTCCTCTCCGACTGAGCCCCGAGCAGCAGCACAGCCGCGCAGCTTGCACAGCCCTGCGCCGCAGGCTGGGCGGAGCAGCGCGCCCTAGCGGCCACGAGCCGCTGGCGCGGGATTACCGGGCAACATTCCAAAGGCCGAGCTCTCTCCTGCCCCACCCCACGCCACAGGGAACCCGACGGGCTCCGCCAATCAGCGCAGCCCAGCCTAGCGCCCCACCTTCCCGGAAGCGGGCGCCCGCACTGGCTGCTGGGAGTTGTAGTTTTCCCTCACCGTGGGCTCGACCGAGTGGGGCGCCGTCGCCGGGGGCTGGTCGGACTCGGTTTCCCACAGTGCCCGGGGCGGGTGTCATGGCGAAGGATGACACCGGAGTTTGACGAAGAAGTGGTGTTTGAGGTGGGTGCGAGGCGGCTCCGAGGGCCGGGCCCTGGCTCCCCGGTGCTGCTGGGCTTCGGCTGCGCTGGCGGCCCCCGGTGATGGGCCTGTGGGGTGGGGCCTGCGGGCTGCGAGTGGGCACCGGCGGGCAGCCCAGGGATGGTCAGACTGGGCTCGCCGGGCTGCAGCGCCCGGGTCAGTGCATGGG